ATACTAAATAAAGCTGGAGTTGTGACTCAAAGAATTATAGACCCAAATTCGGGGAAAGAAGAGAAAGGTGAAAAGATAAAAAGTAGTGAGAAAGGTTAAATAGATTTTCTGTTAAGCAAATATGGACCCTTAATTTTCCAACCTTCCTCACTTCTTTATCTTTTGTCCTTTCTCTCATTCCCCTGCATTTTGGTCTATAATCCTTTTCAGTCCCAACTCCAGCTTTTTTTAGTATTCCTTCCAGTGTTGCATGATTTGGCTACTTTGTGCCAAGGTTAGCTACCCTTTTTTTAGTTTGGCGTAAAAAATATCATTTGGCGCATTGGCTACTTTTTGGACTACATATTATTTATAAATATATTAGTCGAATAAAAATGCACTTTAAAATGGTGTTTTGTCATTTTTTTTATTAATTAGAGACTCAAATAAAACAAATATTTGTGTTTCTCAAATAAATTTTTGTTTGTCTCCTTTATAATAAATGAATTTATCTATCTCTAAGTAAAAATTGAAAGTGTCTGTAGAAGTAACTTTTTAAAATATCCTTTTTCATGATAAAAATTTAATACTTATTAATATTCTCTCTCGTGATTACTAAACCATCAAATGTATTTCTTCCAATTCTGCTTGGAAACTGACAGTCTGAATTATGAAATTCTCCATAATGTCCTACAAAAATTTACATTATTCAGCATTTTACCAAAATTTTGGTGCACACTATAATCTAGACATGTTAAACCTTGTATATTTAAGGATTGGGCCACAAATATATATAATATACTTGTGGCCCAAACTCCATGACATCTTACAATGTGGCCCAGAGAAACAAAAAGGTTGGACAACCCTGCTTTAGAACATCTGATTTTACTCCTATTATTTCTTGTGGGGCTATCTTAAGACTACCCAGATAATATTCAACAATTAAAAAGAAAAACAAATTACAGTCAAAACAAAAAATATTCTGGCAGATATCAGGAATATAAAGGATAGATTGGAAGAGTGCTTTTTAAAACATGAAATTCCTGTATGTTTACTACAATATTTCATTAACAAGTTGTACATTCCTGCTGAATATGTAAATATCAAATAAAATTAAAATATTTAATCATTCAGCAATTATAAAATTTTTTAAGAAGAAATAAATGTAAAAAAGTTTTTACTCACAAATACAAATCCATTCATCAAATGAATGTAAACTAAATGTTATTTCCATTATAGCCAGATGATCTGCCAAATTATCAAATAACATACTGATAAATTTGGCAGATCACCTGGTTTAAAAAAAATTGGATTTGTAGAGGAGTTGTTTATATTTTCATCATCATTCTTGCTAACAAAATTTTTAATTTATAGTTTGAACTATGCAACTAAGAATTTTAATGAGTGTGTATCACTAAGTACATAAAATTTCATTACCATTATATTAATAAAAGAAGACAGCCAAAAATGAACTTTGAGTATATAACAGAGTCCTTGAAATTTAAAAACTGACTGCAATATAAAGAGGAACCCTTTCTACTGTATGCAGAAACAATCCACATCATGGGACAGTCACTGTTTATAAAGCTAACATTAATCTTACTCAGACATACTCTATCATCTATTTTGTTCCAGCTTTGATAAATTTGGGCTAAATGATAAATTGAAGTCCACAGGCTGTCCACATTCTACTGATGCACATTACATCAAGTGAATAGTGTAAAGTTCAATCGAAATATATCAAATAGATTTAACAAGGAACATCACTAAGTGCCCCTTTCAGATTTTGATGATTCTTAAATTAATATGTAGAAAATATAGAACAAAGAAATTGTAGAAAGATAGGAATAAATAAATTTCTTCTATCAGAGAGGAAAAAAAATTTTTTTAGAGAATGAATTCAGTTCTCAAGCTATGGTTTTGTTCTCTCACTCTTATCCAATTTGAATAAAACCTCTTACAATGAATAATTCAAATCTATATTTTTTTTAATGACATTCTGAGAAATTTTCATGGGGTCAATCATCCATGCAAATTTCTTAATGAGACTAAATTTTTTTTAAATAAAAATATGCTATATAAAAACAGTTCTGTATGCTACACTGATAACATTATGAGCTGGTTTTTTAATATAGAAAAGCTCATAATGTTATTCTCTGTGTAATGTATTAACTTATATTCATTCACAATGGAAGGATTCTACATCTTTATGTGATTTTGCATTTTCATTGAAAACCTTTAAGGTGTAACAACCTACATCCTATGCACTCGATTTGAATTTAAAAATAAACCCAAAAACTCAAATTTTTTTTCTGCAGTGCCATTACTTCATCTTGAATTTGTTACATAGTTACCATGGTGACAGTACTCTTAAAATTTTTATGTTCGTAAAGTAGCTGGAGACAGACTGCTTGCCTACGTGTATTTATAACTGGTTGCAAAATTCAACTAAACTCCATTAAAGCAAACTTTTAGATTTACTAGCATTACCCAAAGCATGGTCCACAATTCAGTACTTGTCCAAAAAAAAAAAAAAATTATAAACCAGAGTACAAAATAAATTTGGTTTTTAAAGCATTATTATTGTTACTTAAATGAACTATCTTATCACTTAATATTGCAAAACAATAAAGGAATGAAGTCAACAAGTCAATATAACAATTTCCATAAGCAAACTGTTGAGCATATAAAGCATATTTTTATTTATGAACTGGATCTTATGAAAACATTTTCTTCAAAATACTTCTGCCAGCTGCTGTAATATTTCTACAGACAATACTGAAAGTATTTATATGATCTTAAAAAAAAATAAAAAGATTCCGAATTAAACTATAAACCAAATAATAACAAAAGATCAATTTAGTAATCATTTAATTAATTGATTAACACAGTACACTAAAATTATCAAGCTGGTTTTTAGTTACACTCAATACTCAACCTGACTCAATAGATTAAGATAAAATGAATGAAGAATTAAATAAAAAAGTTCTGATTTATATTATCACAGAAAAACCAGAGAACCTGAGTTATCTATACTTGACTAGCATGGAAAGAGTATGTCAGTGCATCATTCTGTAAATCAGGGGTGTCAAACTGGCAGCCCCTGATGCTATTTTTTGAAATTAAATAAAACGGCTTACAGATCAAGTTAACTGATAAACATTTATCTGCCATGATGAAAATTATTCTCAGTCTTTGAATCCAAATGTTGAAAAACGAGGAGGAGGAAGATAGTGCTGGCAAGTTTCTGGTGAAAACATTTAATTTTATAAATATGTATATTAAATATAATAAATATTTAAATAAAAGTAATACTATAGCAATTATATATAGTTGAGTTGAATTCACTGAACTACATAAATGTGTTTTAATTGCCCCAACTATATTCCTGCATTCTCACTTCAAATTATAATTTTTAGAAAATTTGTAAATGTGATATGGCCCATGCAAATCTTACCAGTTGCATTAATGGCCCATTGTTTAAATGAGTTTGACACACCTGCCGTAAATGAAGCACTAACCCATACTACCTAATACAAATGATAGAGCTTGGAATGGTTCAACTACAAATCCCCGATTAGTATTCAGCAGACTCCAACAGTTCTAAGCACGTGGAGGTATGGTAATGGTAACTATTACATAATGGCAATGAATCTACTAAATAATGAATTATAAATTGATAAAAGTGGATAGTGACACTACTGTGGATTTTGTTCGTAATCACAAAATTTAAGACATTTCACAAAATAAATTAAATTAATTTTTAAAGTTTAATTTTGCATATATCTGTTTTTAGTTCCTAATAATTGTTTTTGAGTGGATTAATATTGTAACATGTACTTCATTGTGTAAATAATGGGAACATTGCTTGGTAAAGCAACTTTAACACAGCTGAACAAGCAAACCAATGATATAGCCTGTTTCATTTAGAATAGTGTTTTTTCAGCTGTATCAAAGCCATCTTACCAGCAATGTATCTAATATGCACTTCATTTGTAAAATTACACCTCCGAATGAGACAGTTGGGACCTTTTTGGAACTGTAGACCATAACCACAGGAGCGAAAAAGTCAGAGGAACAATACCTCTACTTGTGACCCTTCACGAGTTACAGCATCCCTGAAGTCAGCCTATTTCCAGGTTGCAGAGGATTGGGAGTCATGTCACTCTTCTAAGACTATTGCATGTAACTATTTAGCCCATGTGACTATGATGGCTTTGAGTAGCCCACTTGACTGTGGAGTATTTGATGTTATATAGTTTTAAGGGGTGTGGGGTTTGCCCCCAAGCACATGCTAAGGTGCAAGAAACAGAGTGCACCACTACATGCACTACTTCGAAAACAGTAGTACTGGTACACTGTAAAAACTGACATTTAGAGGCAAATAACTCATGAAGGTGCCAAATAGTTACTCGTACAGGAGTCTACAATTCTAGGGGTGGCAAATCACTCATTCAGAATTCACATCTTACCACATGCTATGTGAGTGAAGCAATCTTTAATCGGTTATAACTATCCAAAGATAGTGTGAATGAATTCCACTATCTAACATGACATTAACACACACTACACATTCTAAACTAGCACTTCTGTAGTGTGTTAAACAGGAAAGTACTCACCACTATAGAACTGTTGAGTCTGCTGAATACAACCAATAACTATAATAAAGTGTAGAAATTACTTTTAATTTATTCATGTGTACACGTAAAGAAGGTTTCTATAAGTAATTTCTACGAAAGCTTTGATGAAACCTCTAAAATTAGAAAAAGAATTATTCAAATTAAATAACGTATTATGCATTTAATAAAACACGTGCTCTTATAATGAAATAGATTAATTTAATGGATTACATAATCAATTAATTACATCTACTAAACAATTGAATTTATTGTTAATTACAATTTATCCTGAAGAAATTAACTGATTACTAAACATGGAATATATTTTTGACATTTTAGCACTCAATTTACCCGAGTGGTTAGTATTTAAAACAATTAAAACAAAATATTAAAATAACTTACTTATGTTCACTTAATTCAAGTTCTAATTCGGCGAGTTTAGCCACTAACGCTCTCTGTTCTTGTCTCAATTGGTTGAAACCATTTATAATTTGTTCTTGGTTTAATTTCTTCTCTTTATCTTGCTTAGTGTTCTTCTTCTCTTCCGCTGCCATTTTGATTGAAACGAGACTAATAGACAGTGTTGCCACATGTTTTCATTAAACGTGAATTTCTTCCTACAAAATGTCGCCCAAAACTGTCCAAAACAGAAAAAAATTAATCATATAAAGTAAATTTTAGAAAATTATTATAAAATAATTAATTAATGATAAAAAAAATTAATTAATTATTAATGATTTCAACACCATAAATTTAATATTTATATTTGGTGTGGGAAAAAATCACATTCAAAAATGATATGGATATAAAATGGAATTATTAAAATAAAAAATATTAAAAATAATAGTCATAAAATTTTCAAAAGTTATCTAAACTTGATAATTCCATAATGTGATTTTCTTTTTTATAAATTAAATACATGTTGCATTCTAACTAACTAATTACAGTTTGAAAGTACAAAAGAGCGAGCTGACACGTGTCAGCTCGCTCTTTGAGGGATTCGGCTTCGAATCTTAAAAAATTTTTTTGGGAATGATTTAACTAAAATATGTTAGGTCCAGCTTCTTGCTATCCTATCACTCTATTTCAGGCCTGGTCCAATTCAAGATGGGCAAGGTTTTTAGAATTTTCTTGTAAAGCAAGAAAATGTTGTGACTAGCAATTTAACATGTGCACTGCACTGTTTTCTTTTACTCTTTCTGTCCTGTGATTATTAATTAAGTCTTGGATTCGTCCAGAACCACAGCAGGGAATAGGGAGTTGAAGGACGCGGTTGATATGATAAAAAAGATCATTTACGAGAAACTCCTTTATGTTTCTGACCGTACAACCTGAGTCGTGGATTTGGGCCAGGCGACGTGGAATTTTCCGGATTTTCTACACATTTGTAACACTTAAACAATGGTTAGTTTCCCATGAAAGACCTCGCTAGAGGCATCTCCTCTTTGAAGATCGCCAATATGTCGCGTTTTCTTATACGAATAAACCAATCCAGACTATTTAGGTAATTGTTATTCGTTTGGAATTTGTAGAAAGAAAGAATGATTTATTCATTCATGGGTCTGCAATAAATTTTTATTCTTTGAATATTAAACACGAAAATGAACGTCATTAACGTTAATAACGCAACATAGAGTACATGAAAAATAATAACATAAATAATGTACGCAAACATAAAATAGAATAAAATTAGCTTGTAAGCACTAAATTGACCTTTCTCTATTGCTAGACTTATTACATCACCACAGGACATCAGATTAGCCTTAGAAAATCACTATATTATTTCAAAAATGAATGCATTTCGGACCTTAAGTCCCTCTTCAGTATGTTGTACAATAAATAATTTTAAGATGGATATTAACACATTTACAGAGAAATTGCGACGATTGGTAAAATGACAATGATAAAATATTGATTACAGATCAGAATTTCCGTGTGTGATTTAACGTGCCGATTTGATGCATAGAACATTAAAATCAAACAAGCAATAAGACAAAAAATATACGTAATAATAGACACTGTTAAAAACAATAAAATAGAATAATAAACTGATACACTACTAAAACCATAAAATAATAAATAATAAACTGATATACTGTAAAATCAATGAGATGAACCAATGACCTGCAGTACATTCTAGAAAAAAAACGTATCATAGTAGATTAAAATTATTAAAATACTCAATTTTGCTTAAATTCATTTTTATCAAAATAAAACTTTCCATAAAAGATGGTCGAAGTTGCAAAGGGGAATTCGATTTCGAATATCAGGGAAATTCGGCTCAACTATTTCCGCTCTGTGGGCATTACAACTTATTAAAACATAACTGGAACTGTTTTTTGGAAAATAATCAAAATCGTTGCAAATTTTTGCTTAATATTTGGGTGAGCATAGCTCAGCAAGTATGCACATTCAAGATCTTTTAATTTAATTACACAATAACTATTATCTGGTGAGCCAACAGGCTACGTTGCATTCTACAGTCTTGTATAGTTCTAAAGTTATTAATTATTAAAGTGTAGCTTTTGTTTTGCACAATCAAGACATCATTATGTTTAATGCCACATTTTTGCTCTTAGCAAAGTCGGGCAAAAAATTAAAACATCATATTTTGATAGAAGAAGAGATGGTCTTTTCAATTCAATGAAAAAGAAAAAGATTAAGATGCTTCACCAGGCGAGATTTGCCTCTGAATGTTGGTAAAAATTAAATCTAATTTTTTTTTTTTTTTTGCATTTTTCAGTGGGCATATTTCTAAACCTGTGACAGCTATAAGCTTGAAATTTTAGAGAAATAATTACAATCATACACAGTTTTAAAACCCACAGTTTGGCTGTAAAAGAGTGTTTCCCCTCGTGTTACAGGCAATTGAAATGTGGCTTCTGTTTTATGAGAACGAATTTTATTCAAACTTTGGTGAAGATTTGTAAATAGAGTACATTTTATTGGAAGCTTCTGCTAGTATATCTGAATGGTCGACTTGAAACTATCTTATTTTACCAAGTTTCATGCTGTAATTGCTCGTGGTCAAAGCACAGCACAGAATAAAACAGCCTTGTGAGATAAATCCTATAGATATAGTGTGCCAACATTAGTACTCATTCTTTAAAACAGAAAATAATAATAAATATTATTATTCAAACAAGAACATCTTATATGTTTTTGTTTGGATATCAATTGTCTTTTGTCTCTACTTGAACATAAACCTTCTAACTCCCCAGTATTACTCTTTTTGGCAAACGTTTTCGACCCTACCAGGGTCTTCTTCAGGCTACCGTTTTAATAAATTCAAATATTGCAAAATCGAACAGTAATGGATTAAATGCGATTCAAATCCTAGAATGTCAACGTTTATATCAAAAATATAGAACACCACGTTCTTTCTCGATGACGTTAAAGCTTGCGTAAATTGCGCTTGTAATAAACGTCATTGTACTCAATTATGTGTGGGGTGTTTCTTCATAACAAAATTTCCATGCTTTAGAGATATTAACTGCGTCTTTGGAGTTAATACATGTGTTGTTTAATCCTGCTTCATAAGGCGGACAAAAGCAAATCTCTTGTTTTAATGAAGAGAGAAACGTATAGCTCGATGATGCAAGGATATATTAGGGACACGGACTGTGAGAGCATTGAAGAGGGATACCTTCATAAGTTACAAGTGCATGTAAAGCGTTTCACACAAACGGCATTTGCTAGAGAATGGGGATTGAACAGGGCATGGATAGCGTCTCCGGATACGCCTAGGCTATTCGCATTCGCTAAAACCCACAAGGAATACCCATCTATCAGGCCGATCCTAGATAAGGCTAGATCACCAACCAGAGCCCTGGAAAATGAAGTACACAAGCGCATATATGACCATATTAACGATTACAATTGGAGTATTAGGAACCCAATTGAGCTCATTGAAGAGTTGAAGAATCTCAGCATTACTGACTCCACTTATATCACAGTCCTGGACTTTGTTTCGCTATACCCATCCATAAAAATCGAACCGTGTTTCTGCGAGTTCAGAGATTTATTGCTCACATATCCAGGTGCCGTGGCTCGACGGAAGCACATTTTAGAGCTAGCGCACATATTGTGTTACTCATCTTTCTTCCGGTTTAACAACAAAACTTACATACAAAAGCGGGGGGTCCCAATGGGAAGCCCTCTTTCGGGAGACTTGTGTGAGCTAGTAATAAGGAAACTTGAGCAACAAATCATCCCTCTTTATAATTCCAACATGCTCCTGTACAGGAGATATGTGGATGATGTCCTTATCATATGGAGAACAGAACCTAACGTAAATATTTTCATAAAGGAAATGAACAACAACCCATATGGCCTAAAAATCAAACTAGACCAAAAAAGCAATAGAGCCGCACACTTCCTCGACTTAAACATTCAATTAATGAATAAGAGAATTTCTTACAAAGTTTTTTACAAAGAATGCTATGTACCAATGTTCATCCCGGCTAACTCAGAAGATCCTTACCCCTATAAGATAGCGGCATTTCGGGCATTGACTAAGAGGGCGTTCACCCACCACTCTGAATGGAAGGACACCATAGCAGAGCTGGAACATATCCAGGGAATGGCAACACAGCATGGGTACGGTAAGAACTTGGTATATAATATCGCAAGAGCATATATACGGAAAAGAGAAAGCAATACTCCGGACATCCCAGATGTTCCCCTTGACGGAAACAGTAAAAGAAAAATAGTAGAGTACAACCACCATCTGGCCAATATATACAGAGAAATCTCTTCCCGCACTAATAATAAGGTAACGTACAGTAGGCCAAGATCCATTTATAGCTTACTACGCAATGGGAAGGATACGCTAGACTTGAAATGCGCACCGGGAGTATATTCTATACCCATTTGGGATGACAGATTTAATAATAAATTGGTATATGTGGGATCAACCAAACGCTCCCTTCGCAAACGTCTCCAGGAGCATAAATATGATATAGATAATAATAAACACACCACCACCCTTTCAACCGTGGCCACAGAACCTGGAATAAGGGTGGATCTACAGAATGCCCGTATGGTAAGACTATCACAGCGTACGGACCAACTAAGAATTATGGAGACCTTAGAGATTTATAAAGCAGGATTAAACAACACATGTATTAACTCCAAAGACGCAGTTAATATCTCTAAAGCATGGAAATTTTGTTATGAAGAAACACCCCACACATAATTGAGTGCAATGTCGTTTATTACAAGCGCAATTTACGCAAGCTTTAACGTCATCGAGAAAGAATGTGGTGTTCTATATTTTTGATATAAACGTTGACATTCTAGGATTTGAATCGCATTTAATCCATTACTGTTCGATTTTGCAATATTTGAATTTATTAAAACGGTAGCCTGAAGAAGACCCTGGTAGGGTCGAAAACGTTTGCCAAAAAGAGTAATACTGGGGAGTTAGAAGGTTTATGTTCAAGTAGAGAGAATTATATTTCCTCCAGTGGTAGATAGGAAGTTCATTAATTGTCTTTTGTTTAATAATTGTATTATTACATAAGACATAAGACATAACAATTCGGTCGTCTGTCGCAAATTGTACGTCATTTTATAGAATGCTTTTGATATGCCGTTTAGAAAAATCGTTATAAAAAGTTTTAATTCGCATAAATTTGGATTTTTGTTTTTCTGGATAATATTTTGAATGAAATTCATTTGTTTCCATGCAATTTTACTTTTATAAGCATAAAATTCAGCCATAAAATCGAAATAGCTCTATTAGTAACCTCGTGAACTTTGACCTATCTACTCGGAAGTTTTGCCGCACCTCATTGATAACGAGAAAGGCCTAAGTTTAAAAGTCGAGCTTTCTAGACCCAGTAGTTTTTTCTCTACAAGCGTCTGCAGTGCTGAATGAAGAAAAGAAGAGAAATATAGCTTTTTTTGGCGAATTTTGCACTTTTCAATTGCTTTTATTTCGTAATTTTTCAGATATTACAGATATTGATAAATATTGCTACTGTGTTCATTCATAGTCACTAAAAAGCATATAATTACAAAGATGTAATTCCTACGTAGAATAAGGATTATATAAAGACTAGAATATGCTAATAATAAGATTATACACAGGAACAAAGCCTATGAAAGAAGAGTCTAGAGTCTATACAAAAATGGAAGCTCATTCCTCTTCGAAAACCATATAAATTTTTGATTTACATAAATAAATTTTAGTTTATATCATTTTCGCATCACCATTATTAGACAAAAGACTAAATTTTTAGACTCTTTCTATATTGTGTGTTCAATTGCCTACATCCCGTAGGACGTATTAACGCTATTAATAAGTTTCTTATACAAATTTTAATTTTTACAGTCCCCAAGAAATAGTCACTTCATTAATAAAATATGTATATAATTTAAGAAAAAAATATCTTTATATATACATTGTGTTATAAAATAGTGTTAATGTTCTCATAGTGTCCCTATTGATCTATTCTTGAATGAGAGATCACATTGACATCACATTTTCATGATGACGAAATGAATGGAAAAAAAAACACATCACAAATTTTTTTATATTTTGCAAGAAAATTTTAATAAATATTGGTGTTAAAACAATTATTTTACATACTTTAACAATTAGTTTCTTATACAGATTCCAGGACTGTATGGAATTTCGTTCTCTTTTTTGCAATAAAGTCCTTCTCCACATTTCCCTAATACATTCCAAATTCCTCCACAAGTTTCATTTTCACTCTAGAAATAAAGAAAGAACGTAATCATAATTTCTTAATCGCACAAAATTATATTTTAATTATTAATTTAGTTTTAAAAAATTAATTACTTTTCCACAAACGAGACAGCAATCGCAGATATCAGTCACAAGGCCAGAAGGACATTCATCATCACTTTTGTTATGACACTCGAACGTTCCACACATTTCACATGTCAGTGCACTCACACTTCATAAACATAAAATTACAATTAAATGAAACCATAATTATAATTCATTCAAGAAATTAATCTAGACTTACTATACGAAAATGGTGGCACATAAGTAGATGTAGAAGAAAATCCTATGCATTTTCCTGAAAGAAAAATTTAAAAAGGTGGATAAGATTTCATAATTTTTAAATTTTATATAAATTTTAAAATATTTTAAAACAAATAATTGATGAAATATTATTTAATGCATGTAACAAAACCTTGATTAAGTTTATTTTGTGTCAGCTGTATATAAACATATATTTTATACATGCACACAGAATGGCTCAAAAGTCACTTTACTATGATATATTTTCAGTACGTATAAATACTATAAATTTTCCCAAATAAATACTAAAAATAAAGGATATTCTTAGTTTAAAAACAAATAATATTTAGTTTAAAAAATATACTCTGACTTCAACTGTATACATATGTTTATACATAATATATATTTATGTATATCTAGAGAGAAAACATTATAATCATTAATAATATATACATTTATATATATACTCTATTAACACTACTAGTGGTAATTTATTAATGCAAATCTTACTTGTAAGAATTCACGTATGTAATCTTATGATTACTATATACTTAGTTTATCAAATGTTTATCGACTTACTGTTTAAAATCTTCAGATACGTCACACTGTTTTTAAAATTATTTCAAAAATAAAAGTATATGTAACTCCTCTTATATAAAACTGTTTCGTAACAGTTAAATTCCCTGAAAGATTTCATATTCTCGTTCTGAAAATAATAAAATTAAATTATCCAGATTAATATATTATTCAGTCTAATATATTAATTAGTAAGTAAATAAAAAAAGCATTATCTGCAAAAATTTATTATGTGTAGTACGGATCGGTTATATTTCCATCCCTCATCCAAGCAAGTTTGCCCAATGGGGTGCATTACATGACATCACAGTTGCACCCTTTACGGATGAATGTAATGTGACGTCTACAATGAGTTATTGTTATAAACATCCTTTCAATAGAAATTAATTGATGCCAATTCCGGAATGCTGCTTTGTGTTATCCTTTAATAGAACACGGCATTTTTTACCTAAATATTGACTTTATTATATAAATAAATTAAAATATTCGAATAAAACTATATTATTTAAACAAGAATATCAAATCTTTCAAAGATTAAAGGATTTCAACACATTTCCTGCTGAAAATAATTACGAAACATACTTATATATGTGATGTTTTTATCGTTAGATTTTTCTTTTTCTTTTTTTTTCTTTAATAAACTATAAAATATCTGAAGTAATTCAGCATAAATTACTTCGAGAATATAACTGTGATCAAGTAGATATAATTACGTACGAATTTCTTTATTATCCTAACATTTAGCAGTTGTATTGATAATTCATCAGGCATGATATTAATTTACATCAGGCCCTGTAAAGAGGGCAGCAGAACGATTTTGCTGGAGCCCAACAACAGACTGAGTCTATAATTTATTGTAAATCATTTATGTTATAATTTATTTAATTTTGAAACACTTTCAGTGTGTATGTGTGTGTGTCTTTGTGTGTGTGTTTGTGTTTGTGCGTGTATTGCATAACAAAGCGTTTTAAAAAATATTTTTAAGTTCGAAAGCCTTAAATTCTGAAATTCCTGTAAGTTGCAATACCTTGTAAAAGAAACCAGCAAAGAGTTGCTCAACTGTTTCGGCAACATTTAAAATTTTGGTAGCGCCATCTGTTATCACATTTCATTAAAATTTTAAAAATATTTTTCAACAGAAAGCACAGGAGTCATTAAGCTCCAAACAGGGTGAACAAAATCGTGCCACACACACACACACACACTAACATACATACAGACATTATTTCCGAATTTTTTTTGCATTTCTCGACGTTTCAAGTTGTCCTGAGCCCAAAAATGTAAATATCTGCTGAGTCATTCATTGACCGATCGCCATACTTTTTTAATTTCCCGGCTGTTAAATATAACAATCAACAACTATTGTGTAGAGTAGAAAGTTTAGTCTTTAATTAATTAATTAAGGAATGAACCTCTGAGTTTATGTTCTGATGCATTATAAATGAAATACAAGTATTTACATTATGATGGGGCAGTCACATAGTATCACTCAGTATCATTAACTAGAACCTTTATAAGGGCACGAGCGTCGCTGCATAAAGGACAAAAGAGACAAATTCTCCATATTTTCGTATCACAAATTTTTTCCTTTTAGCATATTTTTATTCCTATGCCCACATTTATTCCTATGCCACTAGGGTTGAATAGTAATTATTGTATACGTCTGTAAGTGCGTTTGTCCCATTAAAACTTTTTACTGAACTTTTAATTTTGTCTTCTTGAAGTAAGAGTTGTGAGGCCCAGACTTCCCGGTTACGCTACAGGTGCCACTTCTTTGCAAAAATCATAAAATCGTATAAATACGACTAAATAGAAATAAATCATGTTTAATATAAAAGATTAAATTTTAGACTCTCTATATATAGGTCTGAGTTTTTGGGCTCACTATATGGTCTGAGTTTTGGGGCCTTATGTATAAGGTTTGAGTTTTGGGCTCTCTATGACTTTGTTCACCCTATCCATGTGCCTATCAAAACTTTTAAAATCAATAATTATGTAAACTGTTCCATGCAAAGAGTACAATTTTAGAGAAATCAGTAATTCGCTGTACAGTACAATACAATACAGTACATTGAATTAATATTTCCTGCCTGAATTTACCATGTCAAATCAATATACTACAAAATTGTAAGACATAAGTTCGTCATTAAAACACTCCTTTTAAAAACGAATTAACTTCTCATACTTTTATTGATAGGAAGAGAAATTTTATTTTTACGAATTCTCAGGAAACTTGATATTCTTATCTAAAATCAGCAAAAACATTAGGTTGGGTACGAATAAAATAGGTAACGGAGCAATCAAAAGCAGTTTAAAATTGATTGATTGATACACTAATGGATGGATTGATGGAACTTTTTCTTTTTTATCCATGAATAATATCGATCGAATCTACAGACTTACTACTTCCAGTAATTTATTTAATGAGTCTAGCTATTCGTATGAATTGATTCGTGGCTACATAAAACATGCAAACTTCCTTCACTACAGAAGTCACTTCACAACTTTGCCCATATCAATTGGTTATAGTCGATTTCTTTCCAAGAGGAGTAATTTATTTCTATTTTCTTAACACTTAAAAATTTTATTGAATCTCGAAAATGTTTAAAACATTACTTTTTTCTGTGTAAAATGAAAATTTATTTAAATGTAGGCCTATCTTTTATGTCGATGGCTGCGTGACTTATAATAGGCAAATAAATTTAAATAGCTACTATCAATCATTTTATTAATATTTTTAATAAAATGGAAATTTTAAAATATTTATTTATTAATATTAAAGCGAATAAGTAAAGCAGTATCATATAATATTCTGAAATATCGCTTAGTGTAGCGATATTGACAGAGAGTGATTGGTATGTACAGGCCCTAAGCTATAACGTATAACAGGCTTTTCTCAGTAATAAAATAATGATATACGTAAACATTTGAGGCCCTAAAGTATAAGGCCTAAACTATAGACTCATACCGCGAGAGTCCAACACTGAATACCGGTATTGGTTCGCAAGTTTGCGTCTCAACAGGCTGGAGTTTTCTGACTTTTCTTTACATGTATAACGCCAAAACAGAGGCTAATTTCCCATACAAAGTCTTTCCAGGAAGCCTTGACAGATCGGCTATGTGTTGCTTTGCCTCATTTTATCAAACCAAACTATAACGCAAGGCCCTAAGCTGAGGTTTGTTTAGCTTAAATCCGGCCATGCATATGTATAGATATGTATTAATCTTTTATTCATAATGAAATAGTATTCTACACGAGTTTTTAAATGATAATGATATAATAGATATACTTATAGAGAAGAAATACAGTAAATTAAACCCAAAAACAACTTTACAATTTCAGAAATGGCACTTAGAATTCGTCTAGTTTCATTATATATGATGCAACTCCGAAATGACTGCATTCAATAATGTCATATCATTATCAGAGACATTTTACGTGTAACTTATAGGAAAACAGATTTTCTAAATTGCTACCTGATACTTGACTTTGTCATTCATTTATTACCAAACATGAGACGAATGTGCCATTTGTTGATTAGATAACAGTTCGTGTTATCTTCAAGTTATATAAGTATTTTGAAAAAGTTATTTCTTCGAAAAAGCGATAAAATTCCTATAAAAACTGAGAATATTTTCTATAATATTTGCATATTTATATATATTATACGTGTAGAAAGTACTGATTAAATTACAGTTGAAATTCTACGAGANATTACACTTTATACCTGCAAATCACTAGAAGTACAAATAAAACTTTTCCCTGTAATATCTGAGGTGCATTACTCCAGCAGTGGGAATCTTTCATTGTAAGCATCACACAATTTAAGAACCTTCACGTAAAGTTCATTTAAATTTAGTTTTATATTTATAAACCACAATTTATATACAGTTTATTCCAAGACAAATTTCTATTACAGAAGATGAACGTTGCCATTCTTTTCCTCCTGTTCACAGCCAGCTTTATATGGTAAATGTACATTGGTTTTATGTTTAAAAGTGAACAAATTCTTTATAATTTATCACTTTTTACTGTTTATAGTGTTAATGCAACTATATGTGTGCCGTGTGGAACGTACGATTGCAATAACAAAACTGAAATAGAATGTCCTGTTGGTGTCGTGTATGACGCCTGCTTTTGTTGTGCCGTTTGTGGAAAGGTAATTCTGTTTTTAACTACAAGTTTGATTATAAAGTTAACGAAATATGTTAATATTTATATTTGTTTTATTGTTTTAGGACAAGAACGAATCATGTGGAGGATATAATTATTCGGAAGGTGGATGCGGAAGAGGTCTTTATTGTCATACAGCAAATGGATCACCAGCAACAACTGTTGGAACCTGTAAAAAGAAGCCATCGTAAAAATAATATGACTTCTAATAAATTTTAACTTGAAAACAATTAAATATTTTGTTTATCTATATATACAGTAAAAATTTTTATAGTAACGATTCCAGTTTACACATGTTTCATTGTTATAAGCATGTACGGTAGGCCTATAAAGTAGAATCATTAAGTGCTACCTGCGGACGAAAATAGTGCTAGGGACGGATTTAGATGACGTCATCATACTCGATGTACGATGACGTGATATCTCCTAAGTTTTATATCCCTGTTACGTCGAGCCTCTTCCTTCATCACTCATTCGTCTCCATTACGGAGTCGGCTTAACCTTGTTACTCCTTTTTTACTCTTTAAAAAAGTCATGTTTATTATGCGTTCGGCAAGTACCAGAGTATCACAAACATAATACTTATGTAAACCATAGGACTTGAACCTGAATCCTCCACAGAGGCAGACTTCAAATTGCAGCCAAATAATGAGTAAAATGATCATTAAGTCTTACCTTACTGGAGATATGATACGAACTTCCTTTATCTCCTTACTCCGTCGACCTTTAACCTCAAAAATTTAATAACGTCGCTTCCCCTAATATTCAAACCTCTCTTCAAAATTTCAGAAAATTTCGACAAAAAGTACGAGAATTATTAACCTTAAAAGAGGGTGAACAAAAACAAGTATCGATTTCAAACAAACTTTACATAATTCAGGCTTTATATTAAAAGTTTTAATTTATAAAAGAGTAAACGATAGGACCATAAAAATCAAATAAATTGTTCAAATTTCAGTAGAATTGCAGAATTTATATTGTACAACAGAAAAATATTTTATATAGAAGAATACATCAAATACATTCATCTGACGAATGATTTTTTCCAATTTGTATACAATATATTTACTTAAATCATTTTATAGGACCATAAACTCGTTGATAAGAGAGAATTAATGTTAAAAAACTCTCTCTTCCTTCATATAGATTGGAAAAAATTTAAGTATGTTTATAGAAACCCTGACATAAACGTAATGTATAGGTTACTTGATTTTCTATAAACAAACCGAGTTGAAAACAATAATAAAATGTAAATAAAATAAATTTTAGGAATTACATTTGTTTAACCTCATGCAGTTACACTATTTAGTCTACTCCAATCAGATATGTAAATTTTATATACAATCTCTGTAATAAAATACAGTTTTCTCTAGGTTGGCAGCGCCAGATGATCTCTGGTAGTGATTTTTACAATTATCTTTACTTACAAAAATTTTTTGTACATATTGTTGAATATGGCTACAGGTTACGTTCATTTATAGCCATTAAAATCTTAAAATTACAAAATAAAGACATTGTGTTTGTTTTACTTAGACCCTATAGTACTGCCTATATCTAGTTTTCTCTAAGATTTATTATTGATATTAATCAGTTTCTTATATAAATTCCAATGTCTAATGCAAATAAAGAACCAAACACTCAACAAATAATTTGTCAGTTCATTAATAAAATATGTACGTAATTAAAAAACATGAAAATTTCTTCTGTACACATTGTATTATGAAATAATAATGTTAACACCAGCGGCTGCTCCAGACTATAAAAAGAGCATCGTACATTATGTAAGAAGCTTGAAACTTTATGATTCAACATCCGACCATGGGTCGCTTTGTCTAGCTTTTTGTATTGATGCAAGACTATTGTATAATCTACTTGTGAAAAACTCTCCCAAAAATATTATTAATAAGAGCATCAAGATTTTTATTTTTCGCAAATTTTCAATCAATCGTCGACTATTGACTGCCATTTTGGGCTACTTCTGCTCCACATGTTCATCGAAAAAATAGAAATTCTCACAATATGATATACGTTCTTATAATCTGGGCGTGGTAGCAAGATGCATGGTATCACGAAATTTTCGTTTGCTTGTTTCACTGTTTTCATGCATTTAAATATATCCTTTTAATTATATTTGAGTAAAGATAAACATCTTTATGTTATACAGTATTTTTGTATACATATTTAATTGTTACCTCGTTTGGTCATCTCGGTGTGGTTCTACCAATTGTCCAATTCGACAATTTTTAATTAACAACACTAAAAAATAGGTGTTATAGTAATAGAATGTATGGGTGTATAAGTATAATATATAGAAACATGCGTTTATATAAAAGAAATTCCGATTAACTGACTTTTCAACCATCTTATATATATAGGGGAGACCGGGGCAACTTCGGCATGCGGGGCAAGTTTGTCAAGCGCTTTTTTTTAAAAACAAATTAAAAGGAGACTTTGGTTATAGGTTAGGCAGTTGAGTTTTATTGGTGGCTTGTTGAGTGTAGTGTTTTTNTAGTGATTTTTACAATTATCTTTACTTACAAAAATTTTTTGTACATATTGTTGAATATGGCTACAGGTTACGTTCATTTATAGCCATTAAAATCTTAAAATTACAAAATAAAGACATTGTGTTTGTTTTACTTAGACCCTATAGTACTGCCTATATCTAGTTTTCTCTAAGATTTATTATTGATATTAATCAGTTTCTTATATAAATTCCAATGTCTAATGCAAATAAAGAACCAAACACTCAACAAATAATTTGTCAGTTCATTAATAAAATATGTACGTAATTAAAAAACATGAAAATTTCTTCTGTACACATTGTATTATGAAATAATAATGTTAACACCAGCGGCTGCTCCAGACTATAAAAAGAGCATCGTACATTATGTAAGAAGCTTGAAACCTTATGATTCAACATCCGACCATGGGGCGCTTTGTCTCGCTTTTTGTATTGATGCAAGACTATTGTATAATCTACTTGTGAAAAACTTTCCCAAAAATATTATTAATAAGAGCATCAAAATTTTTATTCTTCGCAAATATTCAATCAATCGTCGACTATTGACTGCCATTTTGGGCTACTTCTGTTCCACATGTTCATCGAAAAAATAGAAATTCTCACAATATGATATACGTTCTTATAATCTGGGCGTGGTAGCAAGATGCATGGTATCACGAAATTTTCGTTTGTTTGTTTCCCTGTTTTCATGCATTAAATATATCCTTTTAATTATATTTGAGTAAAGATAAACATCTTTATGTTATACAGTATTTTTGTATACATATTTAATTGTTACCTCGTTTGGTCATCTCGGTGTGGTTCCTACCAATTGTCCAATTCGACAATTTTTAACAACACTAAGAAATAGGTGTTATAGTAATAGAATGTATGGGTGTATAAGTATAATATATAGATACATGCGTTTATATAAAAGAAATTCCGATTAACTGACTTTTCAACCATCTTATAATATATATTTATATAATGTTCATACATTAATGACATGAGGTAAACAGGATTCTATTAATTTCAATAAAATATATTACATAAATTATTTACGTTTTAAAATATTTTAAAATCTTAAAATAATAATAATAAAATTATAAAATTTTATCTACAATCTTAAATATCTTTCACAGCTCTCATCACCGAACATTTTTTGAGGAAAATGCATAGGATTTTCTTCTGTGTCTACTTATGTGCCACCGTTTTCGTATAGTAAATTTGGTTAATTACATGATTTAATTACAGTTACTGTTTCATTTAATTGTAATTTTATGTTTATTAAGTGTGGATGCACTCAGATGTTTACTGTGCAGAACGTACGAGTAACAAAAGTAAAGATGAATGTCCTTCTGGCCTTGTCACTGATATCTGCGATTGCTGTCTCGTTTGTGGAAAAGTAATTAATTTTTTAAAACTAAATTAATAATTAAAATATAATTTTGTGCGATTAAGAAATCATAATTACATTCTCCTTTATTTCTAGAGTGAAGATGAAGATTGTGAAGGATTTGGGAATCAATTGGGAACATGTGAAAATGAACTTTACTGTGAAAAAGCGAGCGAAATTTCATACAGTCCTGGAATTTTTAAAATAATCTAATTATTGAAAGATGCAAATTAATTATTGTAACACTACTATAAATTAAAATTTTCTTTCAAAATTTTAAAAAATTCGTGATTCTTTTCTTCTTGTTTTATTCATTTCATCATAATGTCACGTCAGTGTGATCTCTTACGTATGAACGGATCAACATGAACACTATGAGAATATTAACACCAATATTTTATAATAGACTGTACACATAAAGATATTTTCATGTGTTTATATTATGTACTATACATGTTTTATTAATGAAATTACAAGTTATCTGTTGAGTGAGTTGCTGTAAAGATTCAAATTTGTGTCAGAAACTCATTAACACGTCCTAAAGAATAGCCATGTATAAACAATTCAATAGAGTATACTATACATATAGAAAGGTCGAGTAGGGTGTAAGTAGAGTAAGTACAGTACTATCAATAGATTTCTTTAATTTTATTGTATAATTACAAATTTGTTAATCAGTATAAAACAACCTCACCTATATCCATATTCAGTAATAAATAGAATAAATTTCAGAAGGAAGGATAGTTACAAAAATCAACACCAGAGATCAACTGGTGCAGCCAACCTAGAGAAAACTGTATTTTAATACAATAACATCCCGCTTAATGCTGATTCAATATAACGCTGTCTGCTCGAAGCCTAAAAAAAAGCTGAAAATTTTTGCCGATTTAAATTATCGCGGCATTTTATTGATTCGTACATAATACAATTATTTACGAACACGAACCAATCAGAAAAAGGTGGCAAAAAGGTGTACTTTCTTTAATTCTATGTTCGTTTTGTGAATTTCGAAAAAAATATAACATCATGGATGCCATAGGCAATATCGGATTCGCTTGGCAAAAATTAACTGATAAATGCACGAACGAAGTGTGGAAGAAATTATGGATGAAGATATCCAAGAATTCTCAACGAGAAGATCCTATCGCTGTATCGTTAGATTGATCAAACTCAATCTAATCGATATAGCAGGATTAGGAGATTTAGACGAACAGGATATTGAGGAGTTACCGCAGGTTTCTGGTGAGAGTCTTATCAACGACGACCTTCGAGAACTGGCAGAACAAGGAATCCATGTAGAACTAGAAAATAGTGATTCTGAAAACGAAGAACCCAAAAAATTTCTTTACAGATTTTCTTAGTAAAAGTTTGGTAACGATAACCGAAATCGTTGATCAAATTGTAGCAAATGATCTAGGAGTGCAAAAGCAAAACGAGGCGTTTTGGATGCGATCTTCTGCTACCGACATTTGCTTAAGGAAAGAAAAAACGACAAATGAAACTTCGCGACTTTATTGCAAAAAAACAAGAATTTCAGAAAAGTCAGGACCTTCGTCACAAAAAATGAACTAATTAATATAGAAAAAATGAGCTAATTAATATATTATTATACATTTCTGTGTGCATATGTTTACGTGTTATTTAACATATATTATTATACAAATATAAAAATGACTTAAAGTAATTTTTTTTATTTTCGGTCGCGTGTTATCCNATTTCAAATTTAGTTGTCCTTAAATTGTGTGTGATGCTTACAGCTAAAAATCCCCACGGATAATGCACCTCAGATATTATAGGGAAAATGGAAAACTTTATTGCAAAAAAACAAGAATTTCAGAAAAGTCAGGACCTTCGTCACAAAAAATGAACTAATTAATATAGAAAAAATGAGCTAATTAATATATTATTATACATTTCTGTGTGCATATGTTTACGTGTTATTTAACATATATTATTATACAAATATAAAAATGACTTAAAGTAATTTTTTTTATTTTCGGTCGCGTGTTTTCCTATCCCTATTTACTCTACGTTAAAATGACGTTGTTTAACGCTGTTTCGTTTCGCGCTTTATCGTCTAGGAATGCATCCCTCGCATTAATCGGGGTCTTACTGTACAGATATGTATAAAATTTACATATACCACTTGTTTGATATTGTGTCTCATTACTTTGATATACACTCTACGTTAATAAGATAACTTTAAGCTAGACTATTTTCAGCTTTGTCCACGAAAACAAATTTCATTCATTTTGATAACGTAATACTGTGGTGTAACATACAATAGAAAACAAGACTAAATAACATAATGTACATAAAGTGAAATAAAATTATTGTTAAAATGTAGATCTGTGGGCACTAAATCGACATTACCACTTATTAAAATAAAATTGAAACACTTAGTAAAGACGTAAGCCTGTTGCTGTAAAGGATCCGGGTTCGAGTCCTGAAGGTTTCATAAGTGTTATATGCTTTAAACGTCAGGCATATTTTTTCACTCCCCGTTTGGTTTTATTATTGACTCGCTGAACCCAAAATGAGCTGACTTTTTTCATAGGTTCAGCTGAGTCCATAACGGAGATAGACGGTGGTGAAGGAAGAAATCTGGCGTATCAGGAACCTAACACATAAAATTATGATTAATAAAAGAAATATCACTTATGGGTCTGCAGCACTCAGGCACCACAGACTGAATGCCTTGTTAAAATAGAAGAGGCGGTTCCGAAAATTTTTCAGTGCCCCAAACAGATAGAAGTTATGTCACTATGTGACTTCCACCTCTTTGGAGACTTCCGGGAACAAATCAGTGTATAGATTTTGTGGAATACAAGTACAGATTGTGTGGAAAGACTTCAAACTGCGTATCTTGAAGCAACATTCTTAAGAATCTCATGGTATTTCAGCTCATCATGAATGATTTTGTATGCTGATTCATGTGTAATTTCAAAATTTCAAAGCCACCTCATCTACAGTTACACGTCGATTTTCTCGTATTAGGTCACCAACTACTTAAACAGTATAAGTGCACATGAAACTGTGCAGCCGTCTTAATCAGAAAGCACCTTTGTGGAAGGAAATGATACCGCTTCCGAATTTTTCAATCCATTTCAGCACTTATTTCTGTAAAAAAAAAAAAAACAATTTTTCTTGTAGCTTGCAACTTTTAACAATGAACATAGATATATTTCAAGCCGTTTGCGTGCAAGAATTTGCCTCAGCACACACAAATCAATTTTTGAGCAAAACCCAATTGATTTATTTTGGATGCTCGTTAGTTACAGCATATGACAACGAAACCTGTGTAAACCGGAATTGTACGTTTTTCCGTTTAGACAGGTTTTTGTTTTAGACAAGTTTACTGCAAATATAGTTAAACAAAGACTTTAGAACAAGATTTACGCATTAATAAAAGAAAATTCCGAAAATTTGTGCCATAATTGTTGTTTTGTTTGCTTAATAGAATTACCTCTTTCGAATTGTGTAGTGTGTAACAAAATATTCTATATACTCTTCACTATAACGAATTTACAAAATATTAGCAAAATTTTGTTTTCAGTTTAAAATTTATTAAAAATCATTTAGTTTTAAGATAAAATCTTTTTACAAATTCCATCAGTTGTCGCTGGTGATCCGTTTTCTGTATAACAATAAAGTCCTCTTCCACATCTACCTTTTAGATACGAAAACCCTCCACATAATTCGTTCTCGTTCTAAACCAATAATTAAAAAAAACTTTTAATCATCATGAAAATGTCACGCCAGTGTGATCTCTTACGTAAGAACGGATCAACATGAACACTATGAGAATATTAACACCAATATTTTATAATAGACTGTACACATAAAGATATTTTTATGTGTTTATATTATGTACTGTACATGTTTTATTAATGAAATTACAAGTTATCTGTTGAGTGAGTTGCTGTAAAGATTCAAATTTGTGTCAGAAACTCATTAACACGTCCTAAAGAATAGCCATGTATAAACAATTCAATAGAGTATACTATACATATAGAAAGGTCGAGTAGGGTGTAAGTAGAGTAAGTACAGTACTATCAATAGATTTCTTTAATTTTATTGTATAATTACAAATTTGTTAATCAGTATAAAATAACGTAACTTATAGCCATATTCAGTAATATATAGAATAAATTTCAGAAGGAAGGATAGTTACAAAAATCACTACCAGAGATTATCTGGTGCAGCCAACCTAGAGAAAACTGTATTTTAATACAGTAACATCCCGCTTAATGCTGATTCGATATAACGCCGTCTGCTCGAAGCCTAAAAAAAAGCTGAAAATTTACGCCGATTTAAATTATCGCGGCATTTTATTGATTCGTACATAATACGATTATTTTTCAGTGCTCCAAACAGATAGAAGTTACGTCACTATGTGACTTCCACCTCTTTGAAGACTTCCGGGGACAAATCAGTGAAAAGATTTTGTGGAATACAAATACAGATTGTGTAGAAAGACTTCAAACTGCGTATCTTGAAGCAACATTCCTGAGAATCATGGTATTTCAGCTCATCATGAATGATTTTGTATGCTGATTCATGTGTAATTTCAAAATTTCAAAGCCACTCCATCCACAGTTACACGCCGATTTTCTCGTATTAGGTCACCAACTGCTTGAACAGTATCGGTGTTCATGAAACTATGTGGCCATCTTAATCAGAAAGCATTTTTGTGGAAGGAAATGATACCGCTTCCGAATTTTTCAATCTATTTGAGCACTTATTTCTGTAAAAAAAAAAAAAAAAAAAAAAAATTTTTCTTGTAGCTTGCAACTTTTAACAATGAACATAGATATATTTCAAGCCGTTTGCGTGCAAGAATTTGCCTCAGCACACACAATTCAACTTTTGAGCAAAGCTCAATTGATTCATTTTGGATGCTCGTTAGTTACAGCATATGACAATGAAACCTGTGTAAACCGGAATTGTACGTATTTTCGTTTAGGCAGGTTTCTGTTTTAGACAAATTTTACTGCATATATAGTTAAACAAAAATTTTAGAATAAGATTTACGCATTAATAAAAGAAAATTCCGAAAATTTGTGCCATAATTGTTGTTTTGTTTGCTTAGTATAATTATCTCTTTCGAATTGTGTAGTCTGTAACAAAATATTCTATATACTTTTCACTATAACGAATTTATAAAAGATTAACAAAATTTTATGTTTTCAGCTTAAAATTTATTAAAAGTTATTTAGTTTTAAGATAAAATCTTTTTACAGATTCCATCAGTTGTCGCTGGTGATCCGTTTTCTGTATAACAATAAAGTCCTCTTCCACATCTACCTTTTAGATACGAAAACCCTCCACATAATTCGTTCTCGTTCTAAACCAATAATTAAAAAAAACTTGAATATTAGCATATTTTGTTAAATATTATATAGTTATAAACAAATTACCTTTCCACAAACGGCACAACAATTACAAGCGTCAATTACAATACCAACAGGACATTCTATTTCAGTTTTGTTATTGCAATCGTACGTTCCACACGGCAAACAGGTAAGTGAATTAACACTGTAAACAGTAAAAAGTGATGAATTATAAAGAATTTGTTTACTTTTAAACAGAAAAACAGTGTACAGTATATTTACCATATAAAGCTGGCTGTGAACAGGAGGAAAAGAATGGCAATGTTCATCTTCTGTAATAGAAATTTGTCTTGGAATAAACTGGACACAGTGTAAATTGTGGTCTATAAGTATAGAACTAAATTTCAAATTTAGTTGTCCTTAAATTGTGTGTGATGCTTACAGCTAAAAATCCCCACGGATAATGCACCTCAGATATTATAGGGAAAATGGAAAATTTAATTTGTAGTTTCAAAGATTTAGCAGGTAATTAAAGTACAAAGTAGATACGTGATATTATTTTCTACTAATACCATTTTCTATTACCATACAATAATAAATCCAGAAATCTTTGTAGGGGTGCAGAAAGAAAAAAGTATGCCTTAAGAAACTTTTTACTCTCTGAGGTACTCGGCTTCACTCGGGTATAACTGTTACAAAGAAATGACGCTGCGCCTGCTTACCCTCTAAATTCGTCCCTGATGCCATACGCAATAAGCAGAGTTATGTTACTCACAATTCTGCTTATTGCAACTTTTCGGAGTTTACCAATTTCAGAACTTAAAAACAATTTTAAAAACACATTGCTATAAAATACACGCACACATTGAAAGTGTTCCTAAATTATTAAACACATTAAAACATGAAGTATAAGAAATAAATTTTGGGGCTCATCTATGTTTGCGCTCTAGAAAAATCGTTTTTATGCATTCCTTTACAGGCACTGATATAAATTAACATTGTTTCTGATGAATTATATATTAATATATAATTATTAAATGTTAAGATTAAAAAGGAATTCATATATAGTTATACTTACTTTATTGCAGTTATATTCTTGAAATATTTTATGCAGAACTGCTTCAGATATTTTATAGTTTACTAGCTTATCTGTCGCGCATTGCTGCGATCTCAGAAGAAACGAAATTCAAGCAAACTCGTTATGATAAAATTAAATTTTCATTTTATCATTTTTATTGAAACTTATTATTATTATTCATTTTCATCGGGAAAACATTTCAAAGTGTCGTTTCAATTCTATTTATTTATTGAAGTGCTTTTGGATACACGATATTTTTTGTTTTTCCGTCTGGTGCGTACACGAATAGCCTAAATCAGAAGGTTTTCCGACGCGTGAACCGGCCACATAGTTGTCCATGCGAGAAGCACGAATTCTCCAAATTTAACCCACACACTCACAGCGATTGTCAGAAGTGCGATATTTATCATTTTTATATATTTTTTAAAATACTTTATAATTTTCATTATTTAATTGCTCCTTCCTCTCTTCCTTGGCATGTTGTGAAATTTCTAATAGTTGGATAATAAACCGTTTTATTGTAATTTGTCTTTTTAACTTATTTTGAGTTGATATTAAAATTTGAAAAAGGGGGGATACCTAGATCGGTAAAATACGCGAATTTCTTCCTACAACTTCGGTTGTTGTTCGGGGTACAGTTAAGGTTTTAACGAAGTTCGAGCGAATACGTAATTAGCAAAAAAAAAAGTTGAAATAAAGTGATTAAACAAAAATTATTACAAATATCGTAAATAACAAATGCATATATAGAGATATTTTTTGAAAGGGGTAATGGTCTTCACAATTTGAAATGGATCGAACACACTGTGCGCGAATGCTCGTGTAAACGCGCACCATCTATCGTAGGATAAATGCCAGAAACCTTCGCGGGAGTGTATTAAAAAACTTCCCAAAGTTTCGTGGCAATCGTACTATGCCACAAACCTTCGCTGGAGTATATTAAACAACTTCCCAAAGTTTCACGGCAATCGGATAAACGGTGTGGTAATGCATGAAGGACACACGCACACACACACACAGACAGACACACATACATTCATTTTTATATATATAGATTAAAAAAAAAATTTTTAACATGAGCAACTTTTCCTCTATAAATCTGTTTCGTAATTGTTTCGTAACAACAAATGTATTGAAATTTTTTATCCTGGAAAAGATTTAATATTCTTTTCTATTAAAAAGATGTATACAATTGTAGAAGACATATGACATCACAGTTGAACATTCTCGTAACGAACACAGCACTAATGTCATGTGATGCACCCAATTGGGTTAACCTGCTGGAATGAGGAAGAGGGAACGTATAGTACCCGATTTGTACGACACATAGTACACTTTGGCAGAGGGTGTTTCATTTATTTACTTATTAATTGATAATATATAAAAATATAATCTATACTAATATTATAAAGAGGTAACATTTGTATGTATGTATGTATGTAAGTTTCTTTGCAGCAGGTAATCTCCGAAACTACTTATCCGATTTCAAAAATTCTTTCAGCAATATTTAGAATGAAACCTCAGGGTAGACATAGGCTGTATATTATTCCGTTAAACATTCATATAAATTAAAAGATATAATCTAGGTTAAGGCTTTTACGTCCAACAGATGACGCTACGAGTACGAGTTTGCTTTTCTGTGAGGCATTATGCTTTTCTGTAAAAATGAACTAAAATGGATCATCTTCTATCTATCTATATAAATAAAAATGTAATGTTCGTTTGTTCCTACCGATTCCTTTGAAATTTTGACACGACGCTGCATTCGAATACGCAAGTGTTTTTGTATAATATACGTGTCGAAATTTCTCCCACTGAAGGGAAATGGTTAGGATTAAGGCTTACCGTAAAGAACTCTGCTTCTATTTATACTATTTTAGATGCGGTTTTTTGCGTTTTTGATTGCGTTTTAATAAAGTACGTCAAGAGAATGTACACTAAGAAGAAATTTTTCGAAAAATCCCCCCCCACGGGGGAAGTGTTATACATTTATAATAGATACATTTTGAACCACAACAACGCGTGGCAAGGTCTGCTAGTAATATAATAAAAAACAAATTAGATAATTCTATTTTATCATTCTTAGAACAGGAATATGAAATCTTTCTGATGATAAGGAAATTTATCTGTTGCAAAACGTTATGAAATAGTTTTATATAAGAGGAATTACGTATACTTTTATTTTTAAGAATATTTTTTAACGAACTATAAAGCATCTGAAGATTTTCAACTAAAATCAATTCAACAGTAAATTAGTATATATTCGATCAAGTAAGTAACTATAATATTATTTACATGAATTTTTATAGATAAGGATTGTATCGATAATTTGCCAGTAGTAGCGTTAATTTATATATAAATATATGTACTATATATTTTCATCAATAATTTCTTTTAAAATATTTTAAAAAGTATGAAATCTTATCCATTTTTTAAAATTTCTTTCACAGTTATCACCTTTCTTTCATTCAGGAAAATGCATAGGATTTTCTTCTACATCTACTTATGTGCCACTGTTTTCTTATGGTAAATTTGGTTAATTACTTGGTTTAATAATAATTATGCTTCATTTAATTGTAATTTTATGTTTATGAAGTGTGAATGCACTGAAATGTAGAGAATGCGGAACGTACGAGTGTCATAACAAAAGTGATGATGACTGTCCTTCTGGCCTTGTGACTGATATCTGCGATTGCTGTCTTGTTTGTGGGAAAGTAAGAAATTATTAAATTAAATTAATATTTAATTGTAATAATTTGCTAATAAAAACGTATGATTACTATTCTCCTATATTTTTAGAGTGAAAATGAAAATTGCGGAGGACTTTGGAATCAATTGGGGAAATGTGGAAAGGGACTTTATTGCAAAAAAGAGAGCGAAATCCCACACAGTCCTGGAATCTGTATAAGAAAATAAACAATAAAAGATGTAAATAGCTATTGTAACACCAATATGAATTAAAATTTACTTGCAAATATAAAAAATTTGTGATTTTTTCTTCTTACATTTCTCTCATCATCAGTAAAATGCGATGTTCATTTAACGTTCATAAGAAATGTTCATGAGAAAATGAGGTGAGATTTATTAATATGTACAAAGGTGTCTAATCCTGTTTATGATCATCTCGTATCCAAGAATGGATCGTCGTTGACACGACAAGAATATTAAAACCAACATTAAACATATTTTTATGCTTTATGATTTCACTCTTCACGTTGTTTATATATTTGAATACAGGATTCCATATTAGCGGTGTGTATTCTGAAAATGTTTTTTACAATTTATATCTCACACTCTTTAAGAAATTGTATTTTCTGAGCCTTATAGAAACTTTTCTTTTTTTACAGCAAAACTTCTAAAGAAAATTCAGTTCTTCGGCGATTTCAATTAAACTATTGTCTCCTGGCAAAATCTAACGCCTTTGTATATATTCAGTTGGAATCTTCAGTGTTATGTTTTATATTTTATCTCATATTTTTTAAAAATATTTTACAAATTTTCAGTTGATTGACAACTAGTGCCTGCTAGTTTGACATACTGCTACTCTTTGAAGCTTAATATCTCCTATGTCTTTTGTCGAAAATTTCTGAAATTTTGCAAGGAAATTTGTGTATTAGGAAAATTGATGGTATTAATTTTTGGTGTTTATAGGTCGAACGGTGCAGAAATACAAAGGGTCATAAATCATATCTCCAATGGTGTCGGAATTAACGAAGATATCACTCGTTATTAGCATATACAATTTTTTCTAAAACTCGTCTCTACCTCAAAATTAAGCTATTTGCCATTTTATAATAATTAATAATGTAAAAATTTAAAAATAAAATATCATAACAGATGGCGCCACACGCAATTTCAAATGTTTTTGCCGGGAAACTTAAACGACTCGTTACTGGATTTTTCAAATAAGCTCTAATAATTTTCGCTCTGATTTTTAATTTTTGAATGTATTTTATTTTTTAAACAATAATTTGATTTGTTTATATTGTGAGGGTGATTATTTCAAGTTCCGTATAATTTAATTATGTAAAAAGTAAAAATATAAAGTGGCTATTTCTTGTAAGAATGAATAAATTCTTCTTCATCCTTTGCTTACATTTCAGAAGTCTGTGGCTCCAATACGTTTTTTTTTTAAATACAGTGTTTTAAACTACTTTCAAGTAAAATTAAACAGTTTATAGCTTTTATTGTCACGCATTCTTTTGGTGTTAGTACACTTTAGTGTATGGAATGTAAAAGGTACTAATGTAATGACAAAAAAATAGTCACAGATTTAGGCTCTTGCTACAGATTTATACAATTACAATCTTGTTTGCGGAAAGATAATGTATTCTCAATTACATAAATTTACTAAAATTTAATTAAATTATGCTAAAGTATGTTATTTTCTATATCTTGTAGAGTAGGAATGAATGCTGTGGACAGATTTTGTACATTAGCAAAAAATGGAACTAGACTCTGTTGGAAAATAGAACATGATGAAAATGTTTACAGTGGTGTGGTTTGTCAGAAAATTGAATAAGTTAAGTGTTTTATTGTCAACAATTCTTAATGATACTTCAATATAATATTACTATTTACGTCTTCTTCTCATCAATGATCAAATCTAGCAATACATTAAAACAATAATTGATTGCCTCTTCCATATACCATTACTCTGAAAAGGGAGAGGAATTTAGGCGCTAAACATCTCTTGTACTTCTGCATTTCTTCGTTTCTCTCTTTGTTCATTCTTCTTTTTTGTTTCTGTACTTTCCGGTGTTTATCTTTTATTTTCTCCTAATTGGCTGACGTCTTAGTTAATTACTTGATTTAATTATAATACGATTTCATTTAATTGTAATTTTATGTTCATGAAGTATGAATGCACTTACATGTAAAAAGTGCAATATAGACTAGTGCTGTAACAATAGTGAAGATAAATATCCATTTGAACGTGTGACTGATTTCTGCGGTAGTTTGTGGAAAATAATTAATTTTTTTAAATTAAATTAATTACAAAACGAATAATTTGTGTTATGAATTAATTATTACTCGTTAATACGTTGTAGAGAAAGACCAAGTATAGACAATTCAATAAAGTATGTTAAAAGTCGTATAGGGTCCACGTAAAATAAGCACTATATTTCTTTATTTATTATTATAAGCTTGTTAATGACTATAAATGCACGTACTCAAAAGCAATACAGTAGAGCGTCGATTTTTCGAAAGTCAATCATCCGAAAGAATTCCAATCGGCAAATTTAAATTTTCGGTGATGTGGTGCTTAAATCTTTGGTTATGTCTTGGGCTACTCAAATATTTTACGTTTTTGATACTAAATTAACATCTGAAGTATAATTTTTTATTATTTTTATATTTTTCAATATATTTATTTTGTTTGTACAAAATAAAAAAATAATTTTTAACGATACAATAGTCTTTGTTAGGCTTAACATCGACGAAAATTCAACGCGAAGCGACACGCAACGGA